AGAGAGAGAGAGAGAGAGAGAGAGAGAGAATACTTAATGAGAATTCTACAATACCTGTATCTGTCATATGCAATGGCAGCGTTTGTCATGCTAGCTCCAATTCCACTGAGCGATCCAATAAAGGCAAATATTTGACATCCTAAATGGCCAGTAGCAAATCCGGTATTAAAGGAATTATATATAAATATGGGTGCCTTGAGCATCATGAAGAAATCACAAAATGCCAGATTCACCACAAACAAATTTGAGGGTGTTCTTAGAGATTTGGCTCTAGAAGTGAAAAACATTTGATGTGAGATATAAACAAAGATATAATAACATGCTAAGTTGGCAATTTTAAATTATAAATATGATACAAATATAATATAAATAGTATAAATATAATATAATATATACTATAAAAGTAATATAAATATATTATACTATAAAGTCATAATTAGATTACTGGAAGGATAAATTTGATTAATTTTTTAAAACATTTTCTTATTATTGAAATATACGCTGTATAACTTAAACAGTAATATTGTCAATATTTAACCCTTAGTACCCATATTGGATTAGCATAACTTAGTTTGTTTGAAAATGATGTGGCATTTGAAAACAGTAGGAGTTGGGGACTATGGCTTGTAGAGAACAAAACTTACCTAGTTTCTGAATTCATTCAAATAAATCTTTTTCTTTAATCTTTTCAAGTTTCCGATTAAAAAAAGTTTTAAAATCGAAGCATTACAGTCAGAGTTACAATTAAAATAAAATGTTAGGGTAGGTTATCTATGTGTGGTAAATATGGATAAAAATATATGGGTACTAAAGGTTAATTACTACATGTGAAACTTACGAACAAAATATCCAGATAACCAGTCCATTTCCAAGCAATGCCACAAAAGTGAAGAGTATGTATAAAATAGCCAATAGATAGTGAAGGGAGGGATTAGGTTCAGGATAGATCAGCCAATGTTCTGGTATATGAACCAATTCTTCTGCAGGAACATTCCATCCAAGCAATCGTGGTGGTCCTGCTGATAAAATTCTTGCCTCCCAATGAATACTTCTGTTAAACATGTTGATGTGTCAGTTCCTGACTTTACTTTGCTTCTCTATATTATTGAATCTTTATATGCATTGCGGTGACTCAAATTCATGGAATCTTAATCCATTCAAATCCAGACTTAAATGGCTTAAATGGCTTCCGACAAAGATCAGCCGAAGATAATCCTCAATTTGTTGAGGGTTATTGTATGTTTGCCACTATGTTACGTCAGTTAGATCAACTAGGTATATACATATATTCTGTTAGTAACAGAATCCATATTAAAGCGTTGCTTGTAATTAGATTATAATTTTTATCAAAATTATCTATTTTATTTTATAAAATTCCATAGAAATATTTATCACGAGACACGGTAGTGTCTCGCACCAAGTATAATATAAGCGTAGCTAGAACGCACGCGCGAGATCGACCGTGTAGTTCACACAAGTATGCTAGTTCACAGGCCCTCAAATTTTCGGATCTCAACAACAGCTGATCCAGCGAACTTCTGAGTGGTCTCAATCGTTAGCTTGGGTTCGATTTTCAAAATAAAAATGTCTTTATTTTTGTCCCACGTACTCCACGAGTGAGGATACTGCAACGCAAAGTCTGCGGCTCTAAATTCTTGTTTAATTTTTAAGAAACATCGTCGTCATTGTTAACCAGGTCAGTGGAGGGGGAAATTTCCTTCTTACATTTTTTACGTAACGTGGCGCTCGCGTTACAAGCACAATCAATAATGGTACAAACTAAACATGCAGCGATCGACTGTGACTCTGAATTATGATACATATACAGTGAAGAAAACATACCAGGACCCCGAAATATTTCGAAAAATATAATTTTTGTTATGCATTACATAGCAATATTAATATGTAGCATATACATATACATATGTATGTGTGTATGTGTGTATGTGTGTACGTGTGCGTGTGCGTGTGCGTGTGCGTGTGCGTGTGCATGTAGTAACATTTTCATAGATATTTATAAATATAATAAATATTAAGTAAAAAATATAAATTATAATGTAAAATTTTATTTTATTGGTAAATACATATATCGATGAGGGGAGCCCGTCCCGATGACCTTGACCTTGACATATGTTGTCAAGGTCGCCCTCCTGAGTGACCTTGAAGAGGTTTTAGCCGTCGCTCGTAGTTCGTT